TAGTAAGCTCTTCTAAAATTTCTGATAAATCTTGCTGACAAATTGCAAAGCTTTCTGCTGATTGTCTCAGCAATACCCCACTGGAGATCGAACCTTGGACCATCAGGTTGCAAGGTGTGCTCGTTGACTATTGAGCCACTGGGATAGAATTTGATGGCCAACCCACGCCTATTAATTCACCATTCACAGCGTTAACACGTTGGGTGTGTGAGGACACACCCACACACTGTTATATGCATGGGCGCAAGAATGAATGACTTTTATTATTATAGATATTGTGACTTCTAGTTTTAACTAGTTCAAGAAATCTGTTTCAATTCACCTTAATTTTTACTTCAGCTACCGCAACGTATAACATATATATATATATCCCTTTTTTTCTCATTATTTAAATCAATTATTTACGTCAATTTATTTCTGCTGTGTGTATACATACACTTTCAACTACGTGTAGTCATTGTTTATGCATTTATATGCATAGATAAGAATGTTTTAGTTAAAACATAGACATTTATGTATGTATATATGTACACATGTCTGTCAGTCAATCTAGGGGTAAACAACACCTGATCGATTTGTCTGTTGATGAGTCATAAGTCAAAGATTTGAAAAAATATACTTTTCCCTCCCTCCATCTAGCATATCGTGCATGTAGGTTATTATTATTATTATTGTTGGTTGGTTGGTTATATATATACATACATGCATTGTCTTTGTCTTTTGCGTTGATACCTCTCTCCTTTCATAACTGTCTGAATTTCTCTCTCTCTCTATGTAGACAGTGGTGGCATTATTATTATTATTCCTGTGTCTCTGTAATTTATATTACTCATTGTGTTCTGTAATACAACACGCAATTCCAGACACACTGATTATATTTTATTTACCCTCTTGTGTTGATGACTAATTCATACTGTGGAAATGAAAAAGAATTTTTCAAATCTGTTATCACTAAATGAAATGGAGCCGTTGCTATGTCAACAACAATAATAATAATAACAATAGTACAGCATAGTATTGTCCAATGCGACCGTGAACTTCAAACTTTTGTTTTACACAGTAGGATCAATACAATTTTCGCAAACCTAACGACTCCTATTATTTTTTTTGTTTTGATCTAAGTTGGATGTTAAAAATGACCTTGAATTGATTAATAGTGTATTGTTCCCTCAGATATTTTTTTCCGTAGTTTTCCCACGCCATGTTAGTTGCCAGGATGATATTCTTCCTTTTACCGTTCTACGTAAAGAAGTTTAGACAATCTGGTGTCACTCACTCAGTGTCTCCTTGTACAGTTTGTTAATTCTTGTATTCTGTTGACTGTGTAAATCACTTTGAAAGAATCAGTTGAGATGTTGTGGGAGGTGTTGACCAGATGTTCAATAATGATGGCACTTCTGATTGAACCGGTGCCTGCTCTTTGCAGCCACGCTGGATAATGCTCTCTAACACGTTTTGAAAGGACGCGCATACAACGACTTATTTACCTAGCTCCGCACGAGCAAGTGAATTTGTATATGCACATTGAATTGGTCACATGCGAGAGTTTGTCCTTCGTGTTGTTTCGAAGTATTGGACGGCTAGAGGATGTCACTCTTAGTGTTGCTGCAGGAAAGGTCTTCTTTAAAGAGCTGCATATTCTCCTCTTCAGGATATCAGCTGCCAAATCTCCCTCGAAATTCAGATTTAGATACAGCGTCGTTTTCTTTGGCACTGAATCGCATTCTTCTCTTTTTGGTTTAGGTTTCATGTTGTTTTCGACAAAACGTGTCGGGTAGCCATTTTGAGCCAGGATATTTTTGAGGAATAGGAGCTTCTCTTCCATGCAATCGCTGCTACAGATTTTTCTAATGCGATTCTAATTCTTGTATTCTACTTATTCTTCTTTATTGCACCCTCCTCTGTCCCAACATAATCTTTCCTGGGCTATACTCAAGAAAGACTTTGTTGCACTGAGAAGGGCACTAGAAGCTGTCAGTAGGGTGACGAGAGTGTCGTTAAACCAACATCTTGATACTATTGTAGACAGACACATGGATTCATTCAAGAAGTATGCAAGTGAATATTTTTCTTGTCGAAAGCTGAGCTATCCTCTTTTTACACAACTGCCTTGCATCTCATCCGGTGTATACCTACCTAGAAGCAATTATAGAAGACTTTATGCTTGGATGACTAAGTATAAAAAGTCTACAATACCTTATTTATTGTGCGTTCAACTTGGTGTAGCGGTTCCATTGGTTTTGTGGGGTAGGGTTGCTAGCCCCACGCCCAACCCTCTCTCTCTCTCTACTTGGGCTTGGTACCGGCTAGCAAACTAGACGAGGTTTGTTACAAGAAACTGGCAACAAGTCAACCAAGAGCCGCTCGCTCAACAAATATGTAGGAAAAAATGAAGATGGATTGATCGGGCATACATTGAGGAGGCCATCGAATGACATCGCGTTCAATGCAGGCAGGCCATCACTCCAGTGGAATCGCGGTGGGAAGTGATGAGTGGGTTTTGGATGTGGAGGTGACATGGAGGAGATCGTGTTAGGAGAAGAAGGAGGAGATGAGAGATTATTGGCAATTGTGGACGCAGCTGAAGAGGGCAGCTGAGAATAGAAGAAAGTGGAGATGTGTATATTTGAAGTCGTATGTTCCACTCGGAACCCAAGGGAATAATAACTTTTACAATACTCTTATCCTTATTTTGTACACACACACACATTTTAAGTGATGAAGAAAGTTTAATTAAGACAGGATACTACTAACTTACTGTGAGACACTAAGTAAACGGCCCTTTTTGTACTTTTTTTCACTATTGTTGTTTGTATTTTCAATTTTATTTTGATTTTTTTCTTCATATTCTTATTTTAACATTATTGTCAATATTAATACCCTGTTTTAATTATCACCTGTGTGATGAGAATATCAGATACAATATTGTACTACATGCTGAGAATTCCATATTTGTACCAAAAGTACTGTTTGAAATAAAGTTGTTATCACTATTATTATTATTAATGCAGATATTCATTATTATTTATCAAATAACATTTAATGCGAAGCTGTTGCTCATTGGTCTATGCGCTTGACTTACAACCATATGGGTCACGCAGGTTCGAACCCTGCTTCCTCCATGCGCCGAGGTTTGGACAGCTAAGTAGTACACCACTCTAGCTCTCATATATATATATATATATATATATAGGTTTGTGGCTCATTATGAACTTGATGGAATGGTAGTTGGTTGAGTAAATAGGTATTTTGGGAGAAAGAAGCAAATGTTACTCAGCAACCGCTTGCAATTTCATACAGTTGGCGATAAGGGTTAGCGGCACTACTAACTTGGGCTCGAACTCGTGACCCGATGGGCAGAAATCAGTTGTCTGTAGTAATGGGTCACATCTCCACAGAGTAATAGATATTTACAGTTAAGTAACTAATATTCATTCCTATTAAGCCGAAAACGTTGGTGGTTCAGCCGTAGGACACTCACCAACCACTCATGTGGTCTGGGGTTTGACCCACGGCTGAAGCACTCCTAAACCTTGCCTAGCCGGTGGTAAGGCCGGTAAAGAGGGGAGGTTGGATGTGAGGCTAGCAACCCCACCCAGTAAAAAATAAAGCCACTGCACCGAAACTTCGAATTTCGATCTTGAAGCCCTATGCTCCACTCGAAACGTTAATGGATAAAAAAGGCGAAAAATAGTGACAGAAACGAGGTTGTTACCATGATATTAGAAGTGGTTGACTAATATTCTTTTGTGTTCAGAGGTTCAGTTTTTGCATCTGGATGGTTAGAGCTTCAACAAAGCAGGGAGACGAAACCGTATTATCTTTGCCAGGTTGTTCTTTACTTGGCAGATTATTTTGAAGAAAGAGTTTGTTAGTTAGCTGTGGCTCTATAAGAAGTGCGATAATTGGACGCCTTGTCATCTCTAGTCATTCTATCTTAACAAATTCCTTCTTCAAAGTAATTTGCCGAGTGAAGAACAACATGCCATAGGTAATACGTTTTCGTCTCCTCTGCATTGCTGGATCTCTCAGAGATTGAGATACAGAGACTGGAGCTCTGAACACAAAAGAAAACTATACGACCACTTTTACTATCTACTATCATGGTGACATCCTCATTTTTCTAACCAACCTAGTTTTTGTTAATTCATTTTTTCAAATCTTTACAACTTTTGTATTACTTCCGAATTCCCAAGTAATATCACATTTTTCTTCCTTTCTATGAGCATTCTGATTACAGCTCATTCAATAAATTATTTATGGTATTACGCAACCCTACTCATCATATATATATATATATATATACTATCCCTTTTCGTCAAAAAATTATATATAAGTGCAATTGTATATCTAAGAATATGAATTTGCCTGGAAGAACGTCTTCGGTGAACTATTTATTTTGTTCTTTTCAATCTATAGTGTATTTATAACGGCAGAACACAATAGACTCGGTAACAGACTGTTTTAATAAGGCAAAACACACTATATTTATACATTTTTAGCCACATTAAAGATCGGTTAGGTCATCGGATAATAGTGTGTTCTTCTAGTGTTGGTTTGCAGGGATTTGACTGTTTTCAGGATTTCATCATAAACTGAGGTTCGAACCTCAGTGGGTGCGTACTGATGAAGAGTTCCAAGCTCGGACGAAACAACTACCCAATACTCCCAGGTTTCCCGACGGTGTTCCAACCGATGTCAGTTCATGATGAAATCCTTAAATAATTTGTTCTTATTGGTTGTTGACTTTCCAGGGGATGAAAAATTGTTTTTAATGAGGTTATTTCCTGACCACAACGTAAACTGAATCCAGATTCGAGCGATAAACACGTCGACCTCTGCAGCCACTGATTTAAAATGTTATTTTTAGTATTTGCTGCTTCCTGTCAATCTGCGTCTATGTACTACTGATACCTTTTGTCAATAGCACAGGTCATACGCTTATTGCATATCTTGGCGACAATTTTAATAATATATATCGTTTTCTGTTTATTTTTCAGAACTGATAATTCCAGGTTAAGTCAAGGGTCTAGTTTCCACTCTTTGCATATCCGAAGAAATAAAGATCAAATCAATGATGAATCACGTGACAGTTATGGTTATCCATCAGCACTTCCTTTCTCCTTACAAATCTCTGAAAGTCCTAATACCAACAGAGTATCCCCATGGCAACGAACTGTTTTCAACGGCGAATCACTACGATCAGTATCTGGTACAACAACGCATAGCAGTCTGCATAATTTGCCTAGTAGTGTGCTGATGAACAGTGTTAACTCTAGTTACAATCAACCAGCATTACCATATTCAGCTTATTCAACAATGGCATCTGTACATCATGGCAAGTCGTGTTCACCGCCTAAATCGAATGCCAACTCCGTGGATATGACCACGAATCATGTGAAGACTACACCTACTACTACTAACACGAATACGAATACTACTAGAAATTCTGGTGGTTATGCCAGTTTAAGTACTACATCGTGTACAGACAGTTCTAGTACAAATCATTTTCAGAATGAAATTCAAATCCTTGAAGCTTCTTCTACTGACTCGTGCACTTCCATACTGATATCATCATCTGTTGCATCGTCGTCATCACCAATTTTATATCATCGTCATCAAAATATGATAAATACTGATTCATCTTTTAATCAGTCAAGCATTGGCGGCGCCGGTGGTATTGTTAATAATAATGAATATGAAGATGCTAGAGCTACTCTAGTCCCAGCGATTGATTTAGATCCAGAAAGATTATATGCCAATTATTGTATGCAAGAAGGATTACCGGCTAATTGTGAGCAGATACGTCGTGATATTGATCGGCAATTTCCTTTTCATGAATTGTTCAGTAATAAAGGTGGTCAAGGGTAAGTTAATGTTAAGTTAATCGAATGATGAGCGAATGCATATTTTCTATTTAACGTCGAAAAAATTGACAAAACAAGTATTAGCTTGAAGTAAATTAGTGGATGATGATTGGCAGTAGAAGCCACGATGCACATTTCGTCCCACTTGGGACTCGTCAATTGGGTGTTTACCTGCATTTCCCAGTTAGTGTCTGAATGTCTGTTTTCGACAAAGAACTTTACACCGATGTGCAGCAGTTCAAGTCCCCACACTCCCTCCATGTAGCACACAAAGCAAGAGAAGAAAGTAAAAGAAATGCATATTAGAGACAGTAAACAGTGGTGTGAGACAAATGGAATAGTAATAACGAAGAACAAAACAGTTTCATTGGAAATCGTAAGTCACAGGGAGTAGATGCATCTGCACCAGCCATTGAGAACGATTTTTGTCTGACCGCCGCTAGCTATTTTCCAGCCTGACCTTATGTCAGTCAGCTAACATTGCCCATTGTCGAGGAGGGCGATGACTAGGCATATGTAACACATGTCCTAAACATCTCAGTCGATGTCGTCGATTGATTTCCCCTCCTTACCTAGCACTCGACCAAAGCCTAACCTCAATATTGCTCACCTTATTATACCACTTCACACGGGAGATAGAACGCAGGCACCTATGATCAAATACAACTAATCTTTTCACGTCTTCCACTCTCAATGGCCAGGTCTCACAGTCTAGGACTTAAGATAGTATATTGGTCAAGCTAATCCATCTGTGATTATCACTGGAAGACTTATCTCCCTTCTTGTATATCGGGATGATCAGTGACTTACATCAACCCAACGGGACTTCTTATGATTCCCAGACATTGCCTAGTATCTCAGTTAATGCAGAGAGTAAACTGTCTCCACCGTACTTAAATACCTCTGGAGTCATTCCATCAGGTCCCGCTGATTTGCCTTGTTTCAGATTGGTGACAGCTTTAGTAACCTCAGTTAGGGACGGAAGACATGTGTCTATGTCCCATTCGCGGAGGTGTTGGATGTTCGGCAGATTGAGCGTGGCTGTAGGCCAATTAAACTGCTTCTCATAGCGCTCTTTCCAGCGTTCCAGTCGTCTATCCTGAGAGCTAATTATGGTGCCATTTTTTCTCCGAGATTGTTTCACTTATCATTATCACATTATCATTTTCCCCAGTGAGTGGCGGTGTTCACACCTGTTATCCATCGTTTCAAACATCAAAGCGTTATATCCTAGACCACTTGGGCCACCCCTTGAGGCTGATCACTTCAATCCAATCAATTAACGGGGAAGTCGAAATTGAATTAATTAATTACTAATACCCATTGCACAAGAGGTGGTCTAGTGGACAATGCTTTGGCATTTGAAACGATAAGTACTGAGTTCGAGTCTCAGTGGGAACACCATCACTCATCAGGGAGTGTACATACATCCTGAATAAGTCGAAACGCACATCCTAGATTCTACTGCTAGTCAGCATTCACCAATTTAATTCAAGCTAAATGAACAAGTATTAGCTTGTATGCCAGCAGCTTGTAAGTCATACCCTACAAACATGTATTGGCTATACTTGTTATATACCATCAGCCCATCCAAGTATTTAATGTAGGCGGAAAAAATCTATTGAATACCAATAAGAGTATTTAAGTTGAAAACATGTCGTAACCAGTTCATCTTACATATTTAGTTTTGATTTTGGTAGGAAATCTAGAGTGGCATTTCTGTAAACGAAAGAAATAATAATAATGAAAGTATGATGAGTGTTCATTGTCTATACCTGATCGATCAAGTGTATTTTTCACGTGTGTATACCAAAGGAAGTACAATTAAGTACTATACTACCATAACATGATTGATTCATTTCACCTTGATTTGTATATGTGTATGTGTACAAGGTTTAAATCAGGGTTAAAATGTCTTATGAATATTCTGTGATGATGTGGACATAAATTTGTGTAAGGCTCGGTTGATAGAAAAATCTACTTCTTGATTTAGTTGTGTTCTTTGAGCTGGTTGATTTAATTGTGAAGCTTTCGTCATCCCCCATCTAGACAACATCCCCCTTCAGCGCTGGTGTTAGTATGAAATGAACTTACTCGAATTCTCCATGATTGGTATTTATTTGTCTGTCCTAGCAATCACTGTCGTGATTGGTTGTTAGTTTACATCTCTATTGATCATTTTCATTGACTTCGGGTCGAACTTTTTTGTCATGTGATTTACTTTTTATTAGCTGGTAAATTCCGTCTATAGTAATTAATGTTTGTTAATCACTGGCTGATTCACTTGAGTACCAGGCTTCGAGAAATTCCCTTTTGGTGTTTCCTCTATTTAAGATTTCTACATTACTCCAATTCAATTGGTGTCCGTGATTGTCTCCATGCTTCGATATAAAAAAATACATACTGTGTCTTTTTACAGCTGATTTATGTGTTTGGATTCGGATTCTAAGGAAACGCCCACTTTGACCCATTAAATGTTTATTTCAAACGGTGTTAATATTCTAGCTGTTATTTCAGAGATATTTTTTATATGTGGTAGAGTGAATTTCCTTGTGGTCTTTGATGTTAGTTTGTTGTTGGTGTTACGAATTGAGTTTAAATACTTTTTGATGAAATAGTGTGGGTATTCATTCTGTTTGAAGACGATAAGTGGGTATATTCGTCCCATTCTCTTCAACACAGGAGTAGTGCTACAGTGTGTTTGAACACTTTTAAACAATGTTTGCACACAGTTTCTTTTGTGGGTAATCGAGTTATTACTATTATAGTTGAGTATTTGAGCTACACAAATAGATCAATCAGCTCAGAAAAAACACAGCTGAAAATAGTTCGACTTGTCTCATTAATTGAATTTGCTCCTTAACCTGAGACTCAGCGTCTAGTGTCATTATCACCCAACATGTTTCTCCAGCTAATTGAATTTAAAAAAATACCCATGATAAATAACGTGTTTATTTTTCATATCTTCCATATTCAGCGATCATGTCTTACACCTCTATTATTTAGGACAGGGTCTGTTGCCACTCAACCAGTCAATAATCACTCCTCCATTAAAGATAAGATTTTATTTTGATAAATCATACAGTGTTGTACAGTAATATTTACTGATGACGTTTCGAGTACAAATTATTACCACTCATTATCCATATCAAGGCACTCACGCAACTTTCCTGCTTCACTTATATACATGCGTAAAATTGATTAGACAATTCAATAAAATCAATATAAGATAAAGTACATTCGGATATAATTATATTAGTGTTATCAATCAAATACAATCAGATGGGAAATAAGATGTTTTTGTAGTAAAATAAATAACTTGTTAGAATGCTATAATGTGAACTGAATACATTTTAAGATTATTTATTATCCTCCTCTGATTTGACTGGTATTAATATCTTCCATATCTCTCGTAGTTGCGGTAGGAGTGGTGTTAATTTTTTACGGCATGAGGTTGCAAGCCTCATGCTCAACCTTTCCTCTTTACCAACTTTTTTTTTATTACTGGCTTAGCGAGGTAAAGGAGCGCGTCAGCTGGGGTTCGAACCCCTGAGCACATGCGTGCTCGGCAAGCATTATACCACTGTGCTCCATATACTTCTTTCAAATCTCTTTCTCTTCACTTATATTTTCTACATGGAGTGTGGGAGCTTGAACTTCTGAGCGGGCATACGTGCAAAGTCCCAACCTAGACTGAAACCCTGTCTGTCAGTCCAGTATATTATTGTTGAAACTAGTGTAAATTTCAATTATCTTAGTTAGTAAATAGCTATTCGCTTTTCTTCTTACCGAGTAGCACTGCTAAGATTGAAAGTGTGTACCATGTTATTTTGCTGACAATCACAAAAGCAAGCTTGTTTTTTCCTCTCTATTAAAGTGGATGTTGAATTGTACTACAGTGTTATGTGCAAGTCAACATGTCTATCGGCATCTTGTCGATATGACCTACTGATTTAATCACAATAATAATAAAATAATAACAATTCATGGGAAGACAGTTAACTACTTATCAGATCATCTTATATTCTGATGTTTTACTATTATGTAAACACTTTCACACCCTGTGTGTGTGTGTGTCATTGTCACTTTTTAAGTAAAAATGAGACTACCAGACTATGATATATAGTGATATATAGTGCAAGTATGGTACATTTGTAGACAGGTTAGCGTACTTTTGGGTGGTCCATATCAGAAAACGTGTATGTTTGTGTTTCGTGTAGCTTCAAAGTGTGCTCTGCGTGTTTGTGTGTGTGTGTGCATGTTCAGCTTTGTTTTGACTTTGCAGATAAGTTGACATCGTGTTTTCATTCGGTTCATAATCATGTATCGGAGGTGAAATTCTTTGTATTAGTCATTCCCTAACTGTTCAAGATGGTAATTGGGTTTTTTCTCATGATTACAGTACAAGTATTACTGCATTCATCACCTGCAACACTTATCCCTAACAATCAAAGTTAACTTTGTAAAATATATATATATATATTCTCAAAGCTAATTAAACAACCTATACTGTGAGTCGTGTGCGTCGGTGGCACAGCGGTAGAATGCTCACCGACCAAGCATGTGCTCAGGGGTTCGATCCCCCTCCACCGACACACTCCTTTACCTCGCTAAGCCAGTAATAAGACTGGTAAATAGGGAAGGTTGAGCATAAGGCTGGTAACCCCATCCCATAAAAATAAACACCATTGCCACCGAAACTTCAAGCCCCTAGTCTGAAGCTCTATGTTCCACTGGGAACGTAAAGGAATAAAAAAAGAAGATACTGTCAGTCGTAAATATAATAGGATAAATGGAAGTTTCAAGGTTTATCACAGAGAACCGATTTCAAAACCAAGGCGTAATGGACAGCTGTTTTGTTCTAAATTGGGACTCATCATCAGTACGCGCCTGTGATCCTACTGCGGATCAAATTCATAACCTTCAGATAACCAGATAAACCACTGGGATGGGATTCAGTAGCCAACCCATGAATTCTAACTACCGTCAATTCGTTATTT